TAAGTTAAGTTTGCCTCTCTCTCTCATCCATCACATTATGTATTGTAGTTCTAAATATTTTCCCATCTACCCTGATTTCCACTTTTGTTCAAAATTGCCATAAACTCCTTAACCATGTCTAGTTAAGGTCAATTTTAGCACCCAGAGCAGAAAGCAGCATTTACAACACCTATGAACTGTCAGCCACTTATTGTATACAGTATGTCTTACCACCAAAAACAGCAGTTTAAACAACTGTGTGTTGGTAAGGTAATCATTTAACTGAAATGCATGAAGTACTGTATATGTTAGATGCTTAGATCATCAGACCTACATTTAGGTATGTATATAAAAAGGATGAATGTTCCCTTAGCAAAGATATGATACAACATACACTGTATAAGGGAATACTGTATCGGGTTTGAGAAACTTTATACAGATATAGTTTTAAGGTAAGGTTGGAGAGAGAGCCTTGTAGCACTCACCATTATGATAGGTTTCTTTGTATAAAAAAAAAAAAAAAAAAAAAAAATATATATATATATATATATATATATATATATATATATATATATATATATATATATATATATATATATATATATATATATATATATATATATATATATATATATATATATATATATATATATATATATATATATATATATATATATATATAATTTAAAGAATAAGACCTGAAGGAGAAGCATTTTCCTTTTGAAAATCTATTTACATTAGCCATGAATTAAGACCACAGCTTTTGTTATGTGTAGATTACAGTAAATGGAATCTTGGTAATATACTGCAGATCACCATAATTTTCGTTTATAAGCTTATCATAAGCACTCTTTCATGAAGAATAAATATATAAAATATTTTACATTCCATATACAGGGTATATATATATACAGTATATATACAGCATAGATAAATTCTGTTTGGCATATCCTATTGTATTTGATTCCTGCAAACATATAATGGTAAGGTAAATAAAAATAATTACTGTAATATGTAAGATGAAAAATCCACAAATCTCCAACCACACATTAAATTCATTCATGTGATAACTTTGCCATTCTTTTATACCCTCAAACAGCCTTTTAGAAGTCCTACATTTTTAAATGAGGGAGGATGTAATGAATGTATAATTTCTTCAACTGGAGCTTAATAAATAATGTTTCAGGAGTATCAACTGTCATCGTGAAATACTTCCTTCTCCTGTATTAGTTCTGTTAGGTATACTGTAAATGATTACTACCTAGGCTAGGTTGTTCCATCACTCTTTATCACAGAACGATGCTTCAGTGTGGGAGAGTGAGAACTTAACACTCTGCAATACAATACATTTAAACCTTGTTAATTTGGCCTCTTTAAGTTTTATGCTCTACTGTACAAACCTTAGGTATATCGTACTGTACCTGTATACCCATACCAATCATCTGACAATTACCCTACCATATTAATGGTTTCCTAGGACATCAAATTTTGACTTTGCCTTGAATATCTATGGTTGTGGGCATCAAGAACCAGATCATGATGAACAGTATTATCTATCTATCTATCTATCTAAATGAAAATCTTTAAAAACTCTTCAGCTGAATGTACTGTACACTTCCATTTTCTATGCCTTTGTACATTACAATACTTCCCAGGGAGGTACAAATTAACAAGGTTTTACAGTGTAACCCTGTTTTCTTGGAATGACTAGTCAGCAGCAACAGTTAAATTAATGTACAGTACATATATTTTGTACAGGTTCCTAAAGAATATCAACAAATATAGTGACTTAGCTAGTCGTGTATTACCCTGAAAAATCTCACCTACTACAACAATATATTAACTATAGATTCACTTACATATCTTGGAAGGGTTGTCTCTAAGGAAAGCAGATATCTTTCTTCAGGAATAATAATAATACCAGTAATCACATACCAATATCCATGGCTCACTAAAATGTTTAGTTTGATATTTGCATGAAAATGTGATTTCCTTAGTTTCCAATACTTTCACAGTGGACCCTTCCAACAATACTTGAATTTATTGAATATTTTGAGCAAATAAGTCTTCTTTATCAAGATGGCATAATAAGCCTTTAGGTTAGAAGCAAGCAACAGAACTGAAGATTACTGGTTATTGGAGAACATTAGTTTTTATGTATCATATACAAAAATTAAGATTATTTATCTATATAAAGCACACTAATGCAGCTCAAAAATATAATCTTTGGGGGCAGTCCATGTCAGGCCATATTTCTTAACCACTGCAGAGTCAAAATATGATCGATGTACTTTTTCCATTTCAGCCTTCTCAGAATGCCTTTAAGTAGTATAAAATTCAAGCTGTGATATGCAAAAATTAAATTCATGATCTACAAAGTGAAGTATGCTATAGGGGTTAACCAGGAGATGTTCTCACACTTAGGTAACTGATAAACTCACAACAATATCGTAGCTAACCATCGTGACTGAGAACAATTCTGGGACAGAGCACTATTTCACTAGTGTACTTCCAATCTCATTTCGTCATTCTACTATAAATAACTTAGCTAACAACAGCTTTTATTAATGTATGGTATGTGGAATGTAATAAACTTATCCTCTTCTTGATTCTCATTTCATCCCAGATATATACAGTCTTCCCTCAATATATAACCCTTAAATGGTAGGTGAGGACTCCCTAATCCACCCCATGTGGATAAAAACCGTAATACAAAGAACAAAAAAACTTTTAATGATGGCTTACATCCCAACAGCTAACATCAATGGAAGTTGAATACCATTTAAGGGTTAAAGATGATGAAAATTAAACATGCATATAGAACCCTTCTATGTACACAATACACATCCACATAACATACTGTACTGTACAGTACTATATACTGTACTACTGTATATAAAACATGTGGATGTATGATGTGAATATGGAAAGGTTAATACATATATATATATATATATATATATATATATATATATATATATATATATATATATATATATATATATATATATATATATATATATATATATATATATATATATATATATATATATATATCTCATGTAGATCCACAATGAAAACGTGGATAAGATAAATCTTGTTTCCCTTTTCCCGTGTGATTTTATCAAGATATATATATATGTATATATATATATATATTGGAATGGCCATATTACCACATGGATGACAGTAAACTGCCAAGACAGCCATTTATAGAATGGCAAACATAATATAATGCTGCTGGTCAGTGGAAGAGGTACACTCGGGACATAAATTATTTTTACCCTTTTGGTGTTGAACAACATGAAAAACTGGTGAAATATTCTATACAATGCTCTTGCATCTGGCTTCACATTGGTAGTCCTGCTTTCCTTATATAGTATGGGAATATGTTAAGCTACCAGTGACACTACAGGTACTGTATTCCTATCAGTTGTCATAATGCAATATCTTTTTCTGTATAATCATAAAATGGTTAAGTTTAATGTAAATTGAAGAATATAAATCAAATGCAAACATATTGGACTTGTTAATTATTAATTTGAAGAACCTGCATTTTAGTGCATTATCTATTATTACCGGTATTTATCTTATTTATTTACCTAATGGCCACCCAAACTTGAGCTGGCCAGTGACCATGCTGAGGGAAGGAGGCCAGTGACATGCATAGGATCCCTCCATTGTTCTTGATAATTTGGTGTGATTATAGTGCCATGAAATGTCATTTCGGGAAGCTGACAAGAATATTAAGCATGTATAATTTTCAAGATTTATTTTTAGTCTATTTAAAAATGAAAAATCAGAGAAGCAACAAATAAATTTTTTATTCATGATAGATTTTCAATCACTTCTTGGATAAGAAGAAAATATTCAAATATAAGTTAAATTTAAATTATATTTTTTGCTGTACTGTATATGGTAAGCACTCAATCACGTTGTTTAGCCTATGAGGCATAGATGACACCAAGTCTCCATTCTAGTCCCATCCAGCCAGGCTTCCAAGCTATTCCCAGGAGTGCAATGCACTTCCAATGATGCTAGCATGGTTATGCTGGATGTCATGGATACCCATCTTCTGCGTCATCTTTTACTTTACTTTTATCCTCTTCGCCACTGATTGCCTCGTTAGCCTCTTGGGCGGTCGGTTGCGTCTCTGATATGCACCATTGGCAGATAATGGGCATGCACTGGCTCCTGAATATATCGGAACCTGCACCAGTGTTGGTCAAGTCTGGCCTTGAATGAGCTCACACTCAGTGCCGTCATAATGCTCTCTGCCATTGATTGTTGCAATAGTTCACAATTCTCACTCCCCAAAAATTTGACCTCACAGTTTTCAGGACTTGTGGCTTCTTCAACCTTGAGCTGTGACCCACCCTGGGTGGGTGTGGTATGGTTTGCTTAGTATTGGATAGGTTAAATGAATTCAGTTTGTACACACTCGGTGCCATTCCAACACTCTGGCAGATTGTTCCAAGAGTTCACAATTCTCACTCCGAAAAAGTTTACCCTCACAGTTTTCTGCACTTATGGCTTCATCAACCTTGAGCGGTTCCATGTGGGGTGGGCGCCTGCTAGCTCCAGGTATGGACACCCAACCGAGTAGTGCCCTCTGATATGTTTATAAACTTCAAATAGATCACCCCTTGCCTGTCTTTAGTATAAGCTAGGCAGTTGCAGGTGCTCTAATCTCTCTGGATAACTGAGGTACCATAGAGCAGGCATCGCTTCCTTTTGAAAAAAAAAATATATACAGTATATATTTTTGCTAACCTTTAAAAGTGGAATTTGCCCTATTTGGAGTAAAACTCATTATATGTTTGAAAATATGATTAAAATATTTATAAAACAAGGATAAGGGAAATGATGTCACAATCACACTCACTAACCCTATCGAGACAACAAGTGAGGTAGTGTTCATTTTAAAATCCATCACACCCAGTGGTAAAGGTAATTTATGGTCTGACTGTACAGGGTTTTTCTTTGAACAAACCAGAAAAAAGAACCAAAGTGACACTTACACCTTGGAGACGATCATCCTAAACTGTGATGTTTTGTGAAAGGATGTTAAACACCTGTGGGTTTGTTCAACTACACGTTAAGGCAGACAAGCGCCATTTTTGGAGCGACTCTGAAACTGGTGTTCCTGTACTAGATGTAGCCCTTCACATATGTAACTTCTGCAGATGACCCTGCCTTCTCATATTGGCCTCTCAAGACACTTTAGAACTCGTCATAATCCCCACTTTTTCATTGGTAACCTTCAGGTACCTTCATTTATAGTGAATACTTTGTGTTTACACGTTTTTTTTTCGGAATGCATCACTCAATATGTATAAGGAAAACCTTTAGTCTTTAAAAGACTTGAAAGGATATATAATACTACACAGTATTCATTTCACCACTGTTTACATTGTGGTGCATCAGGGAAGAGATGTGATGACAGAAATGGGATGCACATTCAAGAGTTTTATAAGGTAGAGCAAAGATGTTACATACCAACATGATTTTTATTACCTCCATAGTGTATTTAGCTATGGAATTCCAGAACACTATACAGGGGGTCCCTGACTTATGAACGCCCACCAATACGAACAGGGTTAAACTTGAATATTGCAGTATTTTATTGACCTGATGACTTTTTTTTTTTACTTAAATTTCTGTACTTTGTCATTCTATTTCTTCTTTTGTCTTAAATTAGGTGATTTTAGATGTTTACTGTATAAGGACTTAGGCTATGATATAGTGGGATTTTAAACATTATTCTGTAAGTACGGTACTATGCACATAGCATGTGTTCCGACTTAAGAACGTCCTCGGGAACAGAACCCATTCGTAACCCGGGGACTCCCTGTACTGCAATAACTATTTTCTTAAAGACTGGAAACTATGATGGCTTTGTTTTAAAACTTGGACACAAAATTATATGGCTATCAACTGAATCAGAAGCTATCCTTGATTTTTTTTTATTAATTTATAGTATGTTTTTATATTATACGCTTAAGGATGGTGTAATACTTCATATACAGTATATATATATATATATATATATATATATATATATATATATATATATATATATATATATATATATATATATATATATATATATATATATATATATATATATATATATATATATATTATATATATATATATATATATATATATATATATATAGAGAGAGAGAGAGAGAGAGAGAGAGAGAGAGAGAGAGAGAGAGAGAGAGATTAATTTAGGTTAGGTCTTTTTGTCTAGTTCATAAAATGGGCTCCAAACCTAAGTTGGGTTAGGTTAGGTTAGGAGCCAAATTCACAAACTGGGCAAAATAACTGCCCAGTTCATAAACAGGGCTATTTCACAAACAGGGATTCAACTCAGCTCCTTGGATATATCCCAAACTTCAATTACACAGAAGTGTATCCAGTAAATTGTCTTATAAAACCAGAAGTAACTTTGTTGTGAGTTTACTGACTTCAGTTGAGATCATCTCCTCAATAATGACTTTAGTTACCAATAAAAATGACTGGGCCATTTCACTGAACTGTAATATAAATACATAAAACTGTAATAAAATCACTCTACTTATCATTTTCATGGTAGACAGATTTCATTGGTGACAATGGTCCAGTCACGGCAGTGTTACATCCATCATCATATACTGAAAAAGCAAGGTTAGGAAATTCAGCCCATATGTCTTTGATTACAGAAGCTCTGGACTAACTAACAGAGCAACAAAGAGCCATGCCAACTCTCCTTATTAGTTGTTATTGCCATTGTTCCAGGAGAGACAATTATCCCAGCTGATGCTCCCTACATTAAACCAATGTTGTCCTATACATCATTTTGCAACTTACCTGTAATCCAATCCTGTTTCTTTAAGTATTATACAGTATATTTTTTTGAATTTCAAATGTACCTAGTACATTCATGAGAAGTAATATATGATCCGGTAAAAAATGTGGATCACACTTATTTGCTCTTCATCTATTTTTATCATGAGAAAGCTATTTTTGTTGCTGTCAAAAATCATTAACCTGAGTCTACTGAACTTCTAACATTAATTTTGCTTCTTCCATCAATAAAACCTAATAACCTACTGGGAGCTGGAAGGCAGAGACAACAACTCTGTTGTTTTTCAGTTAATATGAAGCTTCATGCTATGAATGTCAATGTCATCATTAATTCTTTTTTAATATGTTTGACATTTTTAGAGTTTACACATTACAGTATCTTCTTTGTGCTCATTAAGTTTTATGAGGTGAAAGTGAATGGCTATTAAAGCTCCATAGTGTGAGTAATGTGTTAAATACTGGTTTAGCACCAAAGGGAGAATAATAAAAAGCTGCAGTGGAAGCATAATGCAGCCTCAGTAACAACCCAGAGTCATCAGATGTTGAGGTGATCCCCACTATTATCAACAGAGCAAGATTAAGATGGTAATGATGATTCTCTGCCCTCCTTCTCCAATGGCCCATGCAGGACTTCTCTTCAGTATTTAGAAGAGAAGGAAGGAGACACGCGTACGGCGCGCATCTCCCTTGCCCCGCCGGGCCATCCCGAATTGTCACATGTTCCCCTCCGAGCCTGTTCCGCCACCCGTGGCAGAGTTGTTGCCTGAGCCAGAGACGTCTTCTCCATCTGACCGGTATGGGGAGTTTCCTCTTCCTCTTGGGCTTAGGCCTCGGAAATCCAAGTTGTACTGTGGAAAGGGAAGCACCATCACTATTTGATGACAAGAAAAGTACTCTAACTGATATCAGTTGTTCACATAATTCAGCATTGAAACTGTTGTTTAGGCAACTTAATGCCCTTGATTGTGTAGAAAACAGTATTTCATATGGCCATTACAGAAAAAAATATGAAATACAACGCATGGGTCATAGTCTATTTAATAAGGTTGCTACAAAAAATTTTTTTTTTTTTAAATCACCAAAATTTTGAGAACCTGTTTAATCTCCAATACAAATAACATGTAATGTAAAATAAGTTAGTATTTTTAATGAAATTACAGTACTGTACAGTACTGTACTACAAGTTGTACTTTAAACTTTATTTTTTTTACTGAAAACTTGTCTTAAGACATATTTAAGTTGATTATATTAGCATATTCTACAGGACTGTATAATATTATTGACTCAGTATTTTAGTGTAGTATAATGCATAAATAAAAGCAGCTGGTAGAGAAGTATGCATACCTGTAAGGGTTAATATCAAGGTAGGCTTCCTACAATGTTATAACAGTATGCCTCACAATATCATAAATATACTCCAACATATAATTATTTATTACTTCATAGAAAACCACTTGAAGTTTAGTAGAGTTGTAGCTTTCTAGTTGGAGTATTCATCCCCAATTTGAAGTCGGGTTCACTGGATCAGTATCAACATACACACACTGTAACAGAACACTTAATCATGCATTTACGAACATATAACATGCAAACATACACAGTATGACTCATGCAAGAACCATGCAAAATATTAGGAAAATAGCACAATAATTCCATGACTTATAATGTTGGTTTTCTCTATTTTTGTTGTAGTTTAAAAATATCAAAGAGCTGCTCAGTAGTGACAGTCTACTATTTTATTTTCATAGCAGTGGAAGCAGAAGTTATACAGCTTTATCTATGAATAAAATAGCTCCTGTTTACTCATTTATAAGCAATAAGCCATTTCCTGTATTTAAATAGGGTTGGTAACAGCATAATTATTTTTCAAGTACAGTAAAGTACAGTACTACTGTTGTTTAGTTACTATACAGTATGTACAGTACTGTGTATCTCTAACATCTGAATGTGGGACACTCAGAAGTAAGTGTCGAAGCATTTGCCATTTTTTTTTTAAACTTGATTCTGCATAAACAACTGAAGTATATTTAATCTTGTTTTCCAAGAGAAGTGTGGCAAAGAAAGTAAAAAACAAAGCCGTAACCTTTGTTTTAAAATTGTCTCGTGACGTGCAGCAAGATGGCTTCACAAGACCAAGAATAGGAAGGTAACTAAGAAACTCCACCCCTCCTCATTCCTGTAGTCTATTTTGAAATGAATTCATAAGCATCAAGAAATGTATAATGTCCTCCCAAGTGACTGTGTAAACCAACATCACAAGCCAGGATGAACACAAGGAAAGATGTCAACACTTACGAAGGATACTGTTGAAGACTCTGTGGACTCATGCTCAATGAAGAGGAACACTGTACTTATTAAACTGAGTATAACAGAATATTACTGTGTATACTCTTCAGGACAAAGGACTTGGAATTTATTTAAACAAAAAAGTAAAATAAAAAGAAAAAGTTGCTCTGACATTTTATTTCTTCTAAAGTGGGACAAGAGAATGGACAATCATCATTATAGTAAGTGATCGTGTTACTTCTATACTTCAAGTAATAAGGACAAGACATGTATAAAAATAAATCTGACTCATGTATCAACATATGCAAATTAGCTACCTAGTATCAAACACCTGATTAAAGTATTGGCTTTATAGAGAACTACAGGTATTTTCCTCTGTGATTGCCCTCTACAACTAATCTTATTACTTATGTGAATAGGCTACATTAATTGTCATGGTAATAAAGCATGACCGACTAAATTACTGGTCACCGCAAAGTAGCCTGACAGGCTGTTTTGGGTTATTTTGCCGGTCCAATGTTTATGTAATAATTCAGGTAGATATATGTAATTTCTTCATTTTGTTTTTACTGTTACTGTACATGCACACACAATCGTTCATACAGAATGTGCAAAAACAAAATTAAAAAATAATTATCGTAAGGTCAAACACATAAAAGGAATAAACATTTCTTACGTGTGCAGGAGTTAACACTCACAACGGGGAAGATGGAAGGGAAGGGGGAATCTCTGAGCTGTTTTGTCTTGCGTCCCGTGTGTAGTGAAAATTGCCAAATGGCAACTCAGTATTTGTTCTTTTATTTTATTTATTTATTATTATTATTTTTATGAAGTGAGTATTTTTACAATTTAGCGAAACTAATGCACGCGATATTTGCACACTTTACATCAAATCCATTCTCCGCCTGATCCTTGTACTAATTAAAGTAACAAAATTAAGGAATAATTGATCTTCAACTGCAAAAATCCACATACAGTCCAGCTTAGGATTTTTGGCGAAGAGAATAAAGTAAAATAAAGACAAGTGCATGGATCTCGGTACTCACCTGAAAATTCGACCCAATGCTACCCGGGGTATTCTTTAGGTTGAAGTGAACCTCAGTAGTCATGTAAAGATTGTCCCTCCCAACCATATACCACCTGAAGTTTGACCACCCAGACAATACCTGGGGGTATTCTTCAGTGGACTGTTTATCACCTGGTGGTCGCTGTACATTTTTAACTAAAATGTGCAAATACCAAGAGTGTTATTTACACTAAAGTGTGCAAATACCAAAAACATTATTTGGACTACAAGTGTGCATATCATCATAAGTAATGTTTTCATTTGCATACCGTACTACAATAAATACTATAAATGTATATCATTACTTTTATTACAAAATGACTGAACGGCAAAATAACCCCAAACAGCTTGTCAGTCTATTTTGCCATGACTGGTACTTTAGCCTCTGCCTTACTTATGAGAGATATTATTATACAGTATAGAAATCTAAATTCAGATTTTGACATTTCTACCTATGCACTAAGAACCCTATTCCCTATCCAGACTATCATAACCATTTGGCTACACAGGTATGGTACTGCCTAAACTATGCCATACCAATCATTCCAAATTACTAATCCTAGTAAGCCTGAAACTTTAGCACTATTGGCTTTGAATGTGCAATGAGGTAGCAAAATACCATTTATGAAATGTTATTGATTCTGTGTGTGGCGAATTTAGAGTTTGACACTTAAAGAATGATTTTTCTGTGTATCATATGTCAGCTAACTGGATGTTTTGTGGAGTTATTTTAAATGACAGTTTTGCACAACACCCTTTGAATTTTTCTTTGTTAAATTTATTTTGCAATGTATTCTCTATCAAATTAAAAATTTTAATGCAACTTTATTAATTCTGTACTTTGTGTGTTATTTTCTATTCATACAAATTCTGATTTTGTACTGAAGCTATATTTAATAAAGGATACTGACTATGAAATCTCAAAGCATTTAAATGTTTACTAAGTTGTAGTCTGTTAAGAGTGTTTTGGTCTTGAAAATAATTTTGACTATTACTACTAACATTTTTCAAGTTGGAAACAGGATATGAGGAGTCCCAATGGTTGAAGACAGGATTGTTTGGCTCTGCATAATTGAGAGGAACTGATGGTTGTACAGGGGACTGTTGCTGCTGTAGAGCCGAGTGATGGAGGTTCAGGTACTGGAGTGTTGGGGAGGTATATGGTGAGGAGGAGGGCAGAGTATAATATTTCAACCAGTCAGAGGAGTTTGGAGTGACTGTTGGGGAAAGAGGAGACAGTGATGACACTAATGGATATGGTGTGGGTTGGGTAATATGTTGATGAAGTGCTGGGATTGGAGACAACTGGTGATGATATGATGGTGCAGTAGTTGAGAGCTGTGTTAGGTGTTGTGAGGGTGAAAGTGGTGATTGAGGATGTATATGTGCAGCAGTAGCTGACATCACAGAAGGTTGTGGAGGTGGAAGGGTCGACATTAGAGTAGGATGTATTGGTGAAAAAGGTAACACCAGAGGTTGTGGCATTGAAGGTACCTGGCCAATAGTGTTGCCCTGACTTGATGCCCGAACTTCATCCAATGTAGGGAGTTCCAGTCGCTCAGGGAGACGCAGCTCATACTTGGGGGCGCAACCAAACATGACAACCAAACAAAATAAATTAGAAATATATAAAAAACAGAATTGGGCAATTCAGGTATGGCCGAGCAGTCTCAGGTAAGGCTCTGGAATAACTAAGGATGTTAAGTAGACCTTACTGGGAACCAGCTTGTGCTAAATTATGATTATCTAAATCAAATGGAATTTAATACTATTTCAAGGCTTATTATACATTCATTATACATGATATGAAAGGTTTTCCATGTTTTGCTATCATAATAAGCCTTGACCAGAACAGAAAGTTCTTGTAACTATGGAGGTTGTATTATACATCATCTGTGTAACAAAATGAATTGTGATAGTAAGAGCAATCATGGAAATATCTCTATGTCCATGCTGACTGACAAAAGATAAATTCAAGCAATATGAATAATAAACAGAAAAACTCTTCAGGCCACAGTGACATACTCAGTGACTTAATTCTTGACCTATGGTTATCTCTATGAATAAACTACAGTATTTATATATTTCTCTACAGCTCAGGAAAGTATTTCTCTCTAAGAATATACAGTAATAAAGCTCTTTGAGGATAAGTATAAAATACGTTTAGTAAATATCCTTAATGTCTTTGGTAAATAGTGAGATTACTATTAACTCTCAAACTCACATAAGGAATAAAGATTAGAAAATTTAGTTTAAAGAAACTAAAAAAATTTAAGATGTTAATGACTAACAAGTTATTAATGTTGGCAATTTTTGTTCTTTTAGATGGTGTAAATCTTTTCCAGACACTTTGATTATTTAAAAAATGCAGACAATTAATTGAAGACTTAAGAGGTATGTTCAGTAAAGTACAGTACAGTATCATATTTAAGCGGAAGGACTAAATATATATTGACATGGTTATCATGCAAGTGAAGCTAATACTAACTCAGTCTGCATCATGTAGGGAATATAATCCTTAAAAATTCTCATCAGTACTATGTTTCTGTTGCTGAATACACAATAGTGAAGTAAATCATTAACCATTTACTAAAGAGGAAGTAACACTTGTCAGGTTTGCTAGAGTCAGTGTTCATATGCAGAGGTAGACAAGGAGTAGAAGAAGATACACTTAGGAAAAGAAAAAGGAAATAAAAACTGGCATAGAAATGAAAAAGAGTATTCTTGGAAGGAATACGAGCCATGTGAAACAGTACTGTCAATATGGCCAAGAAAAGCCCACCTTTTTCTTTCTACAAGAAAGCTACCATGATCATCTAGTTCACTTGCTTTCCTACCTGGAGTCTGAAACTTCTTACTTAACCATTGTTCTTTTTTTACAATTCACTTAGATCTTTTTGTTTGAGTTAACTTTTTTTCAGTCCCAAGCTGACAGAAGGAACTCTTAAATCCATCTTGTCTGACAATATTTAATTCAACTCTTCCTTGTTTATTTCTAAAGTAGCCATCAAGTACAGCAGCATTTTCCTTAAGTAAGGAGTAACTACTGTTATGTTGTACAGTACTTGCATAATTCTAGTATTTACTGCATTTAATCAGCCAAGTCATATCAAACAACAGCACCATAGTTATTGTCTGTGAAGTTCAGTACATTGGAAGAGCAATGATGTTAATTTTATTGCTCACTTGAGGCAGTCAAGGGACTTATTCTGCAATATTGCATTTGAGGTTCAGTTTTGGCAAAAGTATAACTTGGGCTCTTTATCTTTAAATATTAATCTACCCAAGATCCTAGTACTGTAGTTGGTAATAATTAAAAGAGTATTATTTATGTCTCTTCTTAAGTCATTACATATTTGTTGTGCAAGGTAAAAATATGTTGTAAATACTTGAAATGCCTTGAAAATTTATCACTGAGATGGTCTAGGCACTGGCCACATGCACCAAGCATAATATTCTATTAAGTCAGCAGTTGCTCTTGGCTTATGTAAAGAAGGTGCCACCAAGAGAAAGTACAGCTATCTTATTTGTAAATTTGTTGTAAATTTACATGAAGGGTTAGGTAAACTCTTATCCCCCCCGCCAAAAAAAAAAGTACGTACAGTAGTTCTGTTGCAACAAAACTTCATCTGTATTTCATGTGAAAAATTATCACCAGTACATTTTTGGGAAAAGTTTATGATAAGGTATCTCGAGATAATAACTGTCAGTTTAAGTGTACGTACTTGAAGTGTACATGATTAAGTATACTGTAGTTAAAACTGTAACAAAGTGTAATATTATTTCTACTGGTGGCTCCCCATACACATGTGGATCTTGGGTCTGATTGTGCATTTTAGGATTTGTTTACATTCAGAAATAAAAATACACATTGTATTAAAGTGGGTCTTTGCATTTGGAAGACAACACCAATTTTTCACAACTATCTATTATGAAAGTTTCCTTGCATCTTGCCACAGGTTATTGTACACACATCACATGCATTTGTTGTACGTATATGCTATTCCAAAATTTATATATAATTTGGGTAACTGTATGTGAAGCATTTCTATTATGAAAAGGTGCAGATAATAAATGTGCTTTATATTTGATCATGCAGGTTGGGTATTTTTACTGATAAGAATCCTGATGAATGGCAACAGTGACCATCTGGTGTCCTGCATTTCAGAACATATGTTCATGCACTGAGAAGAAAAAATTACCTTTAATTTGCATTGTGAAGACACAGAAATGTGAATCACAAAGGCTTCTTTCAGGAGAGCTGTGAAAGGATGGATTAGTAGGAGAAAAGCAGATGAGGATTTCAAAGTACAGTATAGGGTCTCACACATGAGAGTCCTGCTGGATAAATTGTACAAGATGACTATGGATGTCTAACTTACCTTTGTAGCGCAGACGAAACATGTTGTGACCACCTTTGATATGACATTCATTAAGTTTTTAGTTTCCTGAATGACAGTATCCACTTTGGTGAAGGTTGCAGCCTTTCCTACTGTTGGATTCTTAACAGTAAACTGTAACTGCTGAACATAGGTTGGTATTTGGTCCAAGTGCTCCATTAGTTCCTTTTTGTGTGGTCCTGCTGGAACCTGTAAGTATTAAACAATGTTACTAACATCCTAACATTATCATAACAATTTGAAAAAAACTTTGCATGATGAAACTGGAAAGAGGTGTGAAATACTAAGTGATATCCATACAGATTTAAAAATGTGGAGAAGTAAAAGTGGTTCCTATAGGCCTGATGGCAGTGAAGACATAGCACATCATTTGCTAAACCTTCAGTAAACATGTGGGCAGTATGGCCAGTACTGTACTTGCCTGCCTTCACTTCTTCAACTGCAAAGATAAGATACCCATTCACAACTGGGAGAACTTGGGGTGTCCAGGGTGCAAATCAGTAACCCTTATGACTGAAGGTGGGCACTGTACCCATTTGGTTCATTGCACCTACGTATTTTAAAAATGTAATTACCCGTATTACCAAAATATAAGAGTATTGAATGTTCATTTATTATTCAACTAAATAACTATATTATATTTACAAGATATGCTTATTATTACTAACAGTTACAGGTGTGTTAAGTAAACAATATCATAGGTTAGTGATTTCTTTGTTCTATATACCAGTACTGTAGTTAAAATGTTTGTGGTGATCTCCTTTGAATCCCATCAAGATCTTTGGGTATCCATATATTCTCTTAATACCACTCCAGTGTGGTCTCTATTTAGATTTCTCCATGCAATAAACATTCTATCAAAATATATATCATAAAAACTAATAGATCAATATACTGTACTGTAAATTAAAGAAGAAAAAGATGAAGTATCTTTAATACAAATTTTGGTCACAACTGACCTGAGTTGTCCTAGAATAGCTCTGGCTGTCTTGTTATTTGAATTTTGTTGTAAATAAATTTTTTTAGAAGCTACAGTGGTACAATATTGGATCACTCAAGAATTTTTTGTAAGAAATATAGTTTAGTAAAATAAGTTTTCATTGCAAATGGCATTTAACAAACACAAAAAATGAATATTTTGTTTGCTCAATCATCCTTACAGCTAAAATTCTTTACTTATCAATAACAGTAGTTTCTACATATTCTTTCAGTAGTAAGTAACTACAGTAAGCAGTCTGATACATTTTCTTCATATTTATGTATAAATTCAATACAATTGTTCACAATAACCTTGAGTTATGTAAAATAGAATGGCTGGGAGGAGACTTTGTTTGAGTTTTAGTACTGTACTAGGTAAAGGAAGATGTTATGATATGTAAGTAAAGTGAAAATGATGAATTACCTGGTATGAGAATTGTCGGACGACCTTGTATAGTCTGTTTGCCTCTTCAGCAAAATATTCTCCTTGTGTGAAAAGATCTTGTGTGGTCTTAAGTGCCCCCTCACCTCTTGTAAACTGGTACATAGAGAAGGCCATAGAGGACATATTTTTGGCACGCTTTACTATGTCATTATCTTCGTCTTGAGTTATGCGTTCCTCCCACTTTTCAGTTTCTTGGTCCACCTATAAAAGTAAGGTTTGGATTCACATGAAGCTGATTATCTACCTGTCTACTAATATACATCAGCCTCGATAAGTAAGTTTTTGTTTGAGCTATACAGTATTGTACTGTACTCACTTTCTTCACTAACTTATTCATCTCCATTCACTTTACCACTTTCAAAAGCATTCCTTCGCAACTTTTTGCTGTTTTTTGTTAAGTTACTGCCATACTCCACTGGATGTGGTCTACCTCACACTTCACACAACCTATCATTTATTTTATGATCAACAAGGCCACAAAACTATAGTACACCTGTACATTCGTCTATGAGTTTTCCTACAGAATCTGTAAATGAGTTAAAGTAGAGGAGGGGAATATATATTTTTTTCTTACAGTCTAATCAGGGTGTAATGAATCTGGTGGAGAAACAGCAAACTGCATGGGTTTTGTACTAATCTTAACCAAAATTATTTTTCAACTAATCATAAGCTCTAATTACATGCATGTAAATAACCTTAAGGTATGACAAATTCTTGGCTGAAAAGACTGTTTTCTACAGCATTTCTGTCCTTCATTTAAATCAGCATTGGATTCTTCTATCATAGATAGTCATGATAGTGGAGCCAGTGACTTTGTATTTTTCGCAACATCCAAATAGTTTCACTAATTCAGATTAAATTTTTTTTTAACTTCTGCCCTAAATTCCAGTCATATCCATCCCTAGGCTTGATCCATTCAAAACATCCAGCAACAGACACAACCATTTTCATGTACGTATAATGTCTCAAAAACATAGTACATACTGTATTTTGGAAATCATGGGCTATGGAAATTGCCACAAAAAAATCAAATAATATAACTATCACAATAGTAACAAGAACATCATGGTGGGCTCCCATGCATAAATATAATGGACATTGGTGGTGTTACTACAGTACATGGCCAAGTGCACACTATTATTGTTAGCCTTCTCTTACACTAGAATGAGAAATACTTCAGTTAGCAGTGAAATGAAATGGCTGACAAATATTCAACATAACTTTGAAGTACAGATTACAGTTGGGAATATAGTTAAATAAAGTTCATTAGGTAAGAAGTAACTTCAGTGACTGATAATTCAATAACCCATTGAGTAATGCTGAAGGTTCAGGTCATCAAAGTACAAGACTCATACTGCTCAAAATCCCTAGTTTTGGAAATCCTGCCATATGACAGGGCCAAGCCAGTTGAGGATCCTCAGAATATCCTACCAGCCTTCTCTAAGCGTAAAAGGGTCAAACTATAGAGGTCTTGTCTTTTTGAGGCCAAAACATTTCCAGTATTTTTGGTGACTTGACTTTTAACCTCATCCTTTAAGTTGAACCTGAGAGTAGTGCTGCCTTTCAAGTAATTTCTGATAATGATTTGTCAATATTGTAAAGGAAATACAGGTTGACAACCCTTTATCCGAAATTCCGAAAACCGAAAAGCTTTGAAAACCTAAAGTTTTTTTTGTGGGGCAATTTTTTTTTTTTTTTTTTTTAAACAGGGATTAGCCCACCCGGGCATAGATCACTGACCCACATCAGAGCCTGGGGGGCGAAAATGTAATACTAATAATAATTACTGTATAATAATAATTATTCATAGTAAATAAGATTTTTAATAAAAATACACCAAAATAAAATAATAATATTAATAATAATAATAAATATAACAATAAAATTAATAATAATAATAATAATAATAATAATAATAATAATAATAATAAATGTAACAATAAAATTAATAATAATAACAATAACACTGTAATAATAAAATAATAATAATAATAATAATAATAATAATAATAAATACAAGAATGAAAAAAAGATCAAATGTGAGAAACATAATCTAGACCTATGAATTATAATTATTATTATTATTATTATTATTATTATTATTATTATTATTATTATTATTATTATTATTATTATTATTATTTTTATTATACTGTATTTTCGCCCCCCAGGCCCTGATGTGGGTCAGTGATCTATGTCCGGGTGGGCTAATAAAAAAAAAAAACTCTGAAAACCGAAAAATTCCGAAATCCGAAATGCCTCTGGCCCCAAGGATTTCGGATAAGGTATTGTCAACCTGTAGTACTACAGTACAGTACAGTACAACAATTACAAGGCCACAGTCAGGTGGTGTAAGGCTAAAAAAGAGTAACATATACACATTATTATTTTAGGCTGATCATACAATATTATCATTCACTTATAAAGATGCAGTTCATTCTGAAGAACCTGATAATAGTGTTTAAGAGTTTTTACAAATGCCAGCGAGAGGCAAAGTTTCCTGAAGTCTATCACTTTATTACACTGCACTGTTTACATCCCTTATGTCCACAGTGAAGCAAATATTCAATCCTTTTCTGCACAACAAGCCAAAGAATAAGTTCTTTTTACTATACTGTACTGTACTCTACTGTACTCTACTATATACCCAACCTTTTCAACAAAATCTTCTTTATTTCCCTCAAGTGAAAGATTTTGTGAAATTTTTCCTCAAACATACAAAGTTCTGCAGACAACCTATAGTGCTAAGAAAAAAATATTCCACTGCAATTCCCATAATCATATTTATTTCTCTACTCCTTGACAGTAGAATGATCACAGTTTATATCCAGTTCTCAGGCTTGGGATTTGAAAATTTTTCATGATCCTTAAAATTCTAGGCCAGGGTGTAGGTCCTCAATATGAAAACCCCAAAACCCCAAGTAAATTTTCTCATTGAATTTATGCAGATCTCAGAAATGAACCTGGGTGACCTTAACAACAGAAATCCAGACCAACCCCTAAAATTCTCAAGCCAGAACAATCCGGTACATATCTTACAGCATTATGGAATAAAAACATGCATTTATATTAATATACGGTACCTTGGAATAAATCAACCTAATCTTATTCTCTTATAGAAATGCCATAGATTATTACATAGAAGATGAGTTAATTATCAGTTAGGTATTTAAAAGCAAACTTACTTCTGAAGATATAAGCTTCATATCCAGGCCAGACTTGGCTAACTTAGCCTGCTCCTCTTGGTCCAGCTTGGTAGGTTTTGGCGGCTTACTTGTAGTTCCATGTTTCTGAGGGGAAGTCAGATAACCAGTTTCAGCCTGTTGAACCTGTTGTTAATGGAAATGTTAGTAAGGTGCTAAGATTTTATGCTATGCAGGACCCCAGTCCTAATGGGGTATTTAGCATGCAACAGATATTAATGGTTATCATATTAATAGAAATTCTTTATAAGTGATGGGAAAGAATCCACTTACAGTATTCATACAAAAATCACATTACAACTAAATCAAGCTTATGGTATTGGACATTAACTACTGTACAGGAGTCAGGAAGGACTCAACACTGTTTGGGTATTCAGTTTATAGTGTTTTGGTGCAACTCATACTGACGAGTACTGGTAACCTTGGTGCCTTGTGAAGGATCTATATCATACAAAACAATCCATATTATGGGTATTAAACAAAAAATATTTCCTTAAGTTTACATTAGGTGCGGTGTCTTCCTTTGTGTAGCGTCTTTTTTTAAGGGAAGACAGGCCAACCTACTAGATTTTCTACAAGACAGTGCTCGGCAGACAGTAGTATAGTCAGTGCCAGATTAACCATGAGGCACTTGAGGCACTAGCCTCAGGCTCCCCGACTCTAAGGGGCCCCCAAATCCAAACATTCTCGAAGTTGAAGCGTATAAAACATGAACTTCGTTCAACGATGTCCTAGCAAAGTCTCAATTTTCTGTCTCTTATGAACATTAAATGTGTTATTTTGCAGAAGCTTAATATTGATGAAATCATTGATAAATTTGGGTATACAGTTGTACCCGCTTAACGCGGTTTCACTTAACGCGATTTCTCATATACGCGGTGCCTCGCCAGAACCGAACTTTCACTCAACGCGGTTCATCTACTCATATACACGGGAAGCGGTGCGGGCACGATGCGCACAAGGTTGCCCAGTCATCAAAACATTACCGAGTTCTTCACCCGCCACCCACCACAGCCGGCCCAAGTCAGTGATAGTGATAATTATAGTGAGGATATGGACTTATATGGACTTTGAGGGGTTTGACAAAGAGGCCCTGCAAGCCTCTGTGGTGGATAGTGATACAATTGATACAAGTGATACAGGCGAGGGCCAATAATCTGCCCTCTGCCTCGGAACCAACCCCCCATCCCCATGTGCCCAGCCATCTTTTCTACTAATGTAAGTGTTAAAAAACCTAATATTATTGATATTTCTCTTAATTATTAATTGTGTGTGCATACCATCATAAAGTTAAGATAATATTTTTACTACAACATAGTTGTGTGTCGTCAAAAAGTGGAGTTTGGGGGTCGGGCCAGTCTCTATTGGAATTAATCCCATATGTTCTGTTGTTCACTTAACGCGGTTTTCACTTAACGCGGTACCCTGTGGGTTCAATTGACCGCGTTAAGCGGGGTACAACTGTATTTTGTTCTTGTTATTTATATATAAGGGGCCCCAAGTTGATCTGTGCCTCAGGCCCCTATTAAGCTTAATCCAGCCCTAAGTATAGTACAGTACCACAGTGAAAACAGCCTTTCAGGTGCTATAAACAAACAAAAATTTCATGGTTGATGAATGCAATTTTCAACACAATACAGTAGTTAAATTCTGTATATACTTTTAAACATAATTTGCACATTTCCTCTCTTAATGAGATGATATGGGCAATTTCACACAAAGCCTTCCCATTTTTTTTAGACCAAATCACATCTAATAATTATACTGCATCTTTCAAATTATACAGTAATGTACATACATGTAAATTTAGCCTTTATGAACAGTGTGAGTTCTACCTACATATTCAATATGTACTGTACTGCAAAGTTTTATTCATTGGTTATTAAAATATATAGTTGTTGCCACACAAAAGCTATCAATCACAGGGAAGGAAGGAGGGCAGGGGTAGGTGAGGACTTTCTTTCCACACCACAAATTGATTTTTCAGTTTAATTATGAGGCCAGCACAGCTTACACTCACTCCCTGCCGAATTTTTTGTCCACAACTGTACATTATTACATTTCAAACAACCATTTTCTCAATAGTACTGATAAAATTTAAGGACGTTTTCATACATAATTACTGCACTACTGTTTCCGCAGATATGATCAACAACATCCCCATACAGGTCCAATACGTACTTGAATACTTCTCACATAAATTATTATACCTCTACATTATTTCATAAAAAAATAGAGAAAAAAGTTTTCAACAATTTGCTATGGTGAACACTTGAGGTACTAATTATGTAGTCAACTTAAATTTATACAGGTATGTTTGAAAGATTAATTTTGTGAGTGGGGTGCGGGCCTGTTGCGATTGGTTAGTGCTATTATAACTCTCCATGAGTGCTGGAAGAGCCACTCCATACGATCATATAATGATGCAATTATGTTACAACACAATTAAAGCTGATTTTATCCTCCTTGCAACTGATCAGCTCATTAGCCGCTTAACAAATAGACAGCTGATAGAATATTAAAGTTCTGGACTTTCAACAATGCAGTGAAAAACGTGAATTCTACAGTATACAGTACAGTACAGTACAATATTGATGTTTGTCTGATAAATAATATACAGTATAGATCATAAACAGTTAAACAATATACTGTACTGTACAGTACAAAATTCATAATTAATAAATATTTAAAGTTTTATGCTATTTGTATCAGATGTAGAAAAAACCCAGATTAATTCAGAACATTCAACTGAAAATAAGTTAGTGAACACTTAAGTTCTCTCCACTGCCATAGCTCAGTCTCAGTGAGAGACTCTCCCCAAAGCATAATGCTAACACATCAAACTTGACTTATCAAGTACCATAGACAACTTCATTATCTACAAATTTTCAAGAAAATTCGACTTATTAGTTCATCTAACTGGGAAGTGAATGGGTCATCACTGTTAAGACAAACATTATGTGATACGAGGAGCTTTAGAAAGTACAGTACAATTAAGGTAACAATGAAAATGCAAAAAAGACAGAAAAACTTATTTAGTTTATCCATGCATGCAGTAGCTTAAAAAGAAAAAAAGATTGGTGACAGATCACAGACAATGTGGTAAAAGTAAACAATGAAAGCAAACCAAAGCACTACTGTGCACACGATAATTTTTTTTATATAAAATCTATTTACAATTATTGATACTATAACATGCAATACTGTACAAGATTCACTAGTACTGTCTCTACATTCTCAAGTAATACATAATAGACATGTTGTATAAAATTAGTGTTACTTATGTAACAAAATACACAGTTAAATTATCAAGATTGGTTGGTTTACTCCCTGATTCTGTTTATCAGGTTTTAAATTGGTGGTCCTATTAGTCATCTCAAGTGCCACACCTGAAACTGTTTATTTGAGTAGACGCATCAAGTCACGAATGAGGGTTTAACTCCTCAATCGGGATTTTAAGACAAAGGAAATGTTCCCATCCTGTAAAATTGTAGATTATATGATATCCACATGAGGAATGTATTTGTTCTCTCAAAAATATCTACAATAATGAGTCCAGTCTGTCACAAGCAGTATTTGTGTTAGCTTAAACATTCATATTTCATCACGAACAGTCATGTTATTAAAGTGAAAATGGGTCTCATATGCCTGATGGCCTGTTAGGGGCTGTGTGGATACAGCACAAAGAAGCAATGTGGCCAACACTGCACTTGACAGCCTTTACTCTCCCAACTGTATGTTAGTTAAGTATCCATTCATGTGGATTTGTGAAGCCCTGAGTGTGAAACAGTGACCCTAGTCATTCATGGTAACCCTAAATATACAAGCAAATGCATAACCATGAAGTGAAGAGATTCCTTCAAGGTAGACGACAGTAATGTTCCCTCATGCGGATAATGCCATGAGAAGCAGCTACGTACTGTACTTTAAATGGTTTTTATTTTTTTGTATCATAGTCGAAGGCTCCCTTTGGTTATTTCACCTGCCATATCCTCGAGGACTATACCACAATATACAACAGGATCAACTCCCAATGTGATACAGCAGACTTCCTCGAAGATGTAAAGGAATAAAGGCCCGGTCTAGTAATTAAGATTCTAGCCAGTGGCTCCTTTCCTTAAACATGGCCAAATGCAAAACCCTCTGTTATGGAGCATGCAACCCTAAGGCACTCAACAGTCACTTAAAAGTATTCTTCTTATTTCGTTTATACCTTCAATTTTTTACACAATTTATTCCCTCTTTCATTCTAAACTACCACTTAATATGTTTGTTTAATTTTGCACTAGTTACAATTTCTTCCAAAACAAATTACAGTAGTCTCTTTCAAAACCTTGTGAAAAATACCCCATCTTTTATTTGCTTATCTTTCGTTCATTCCCATTTTAATATTCATACACTCCTTCCTTCTCTAATCATCCTTCATGTATAAATGACACATGTATACTGCACAGCCAACCTTATCGCACCTTACACTGTCTTCCTCTCTTGTTTTCACACTTCACATGCAGACTTCCTATTTCATTAAACTTGCAAACCATCTATGGACTTTCAACTGTTGAGAATTAAAACATTTGCTGAAGTAGTTTTCTAAAAGTCTTTGTACTGTGTATGTGTAGCACTTACCACTTGCCCACACTAAGAAAAAACAACAGTAGGTATGTACAGTAATAGCAATAACTGTTTCAGAATGTAAGGTAAGGATTACTACACAAAAGGAATCCAGTTGGCAGTGATACATTTAGCAGGGAAGGATAGCCACTTAAAGAAATTCAAGAAGTGCTATATAATAAAACAAGAAATTACTGAAGACTTAAAAGGATATGCAGATGGTAGAAGAACTATAACACAGAGTGAAGGAAATAAATATACATTCACATTAAATAATATCTTGCCAAGGTATAAGTTACCATCAGTAGGTAAACAAGCATCATCCTATATGAATAAATAACTGTGGCTGGAGGTGGAGGGCCATGCTGCTGGACATACCCCCGGGCGTGGCAGGGACATGTACACCTGCTTCTCTGGTGGTTTGTTCTCCGCCGTGATCTGGTCCCCTATGTCCTTGGTCAGGCTCTTGACGTCGCCCACCAAATTTAGCCACATGTCGGCAAATACTGAGTCAAGGCAAGAGCAGAGAGAACAAGGTATAATATTTCCTTACAAGTAGAATATAAGCAGATAAATGAGAACTCTACATTTTTAGGGTTCTTACTTGAAGCATGATGCAGGAGCAATGCAAATGGTAAGAAGAAAAACTTTCATGGCTTATCATGAGCAATAGAAAATGATAATCATTAACATCTGCCATGTCTTAAGAGGACAGTTAAACTAAATCTGCAAAATGAATTCTCACTCAAATGAATAGTTCATCACCAAACTATTAAGAATTAGTATTACTGAGGTGACAAATGATACCGCCACCACTCAGGGTACACGAGAAGTAATTGGGTGATGAATTATGCTCATGCTTGACGATCCACCTACCTATTGTTTCCTGTCTTACCTTCAACATTTTCTTTAGCAATCTTGGAAGTTGGATATAAACAAAGTGTCTGAGCTGCCGTCACCACCTGGGGGCCGTAGATCCGTAGGTTGATCTCCCCGTACTTGGCAGCTACCTGGAGGGAGTCTGTTGTGGCTATGTGCCTTAACAACTTACATACCTGCAACACACAGTTTATTTGTTATAATCAGGAAACACAAGGTATCTATTGTGAACATTTTCTCAATAAAAGGAATTTATACTAAGTCATTTATTGTTAGAGATCTAATTATCAATCAACCTACCCATACATCAATTTATCTATCTAAATATCACGTCAAGTATATTATAAATATAATCCTTCTCTAGCACAGCTCAGCTACCATTAAGGTGGACACATACAACAGCCTTCAGGGAAATCGGCCTCCACACAGTCCTTCTCTCACATCATCACACTGTCTTTACAATTATGGCCATGGCCCCTTAAATAATCTCTACCTTTCACCTCTACCCTCAACGTTTACAAGAATGACATTTTTCTCATCCTCCAATATAGATAACACTTACAACAGTCATCCTCCAGTATAGATAACACTTACAACAGTCATCCTCCAGTATAGATAACACTTACAACAGTCATCCTCCAGTATACATAACACCCACAACAGTCATCCTCCAGTATACATAACACCCACAACAGTCAACCTCCAGTATAGATAACACCCACAACAGTCATCCTCCAGTATACATAACACCCACAACAGTCATCCTCCAGTATAGATAACACCCACAACAGTCATCCTCCAGTATACATAACACCCACAACAGTCATCCTCCAGTATAGATAACACCCACAACAGTCAACCTCCAGTATAGATAACACCCACAACAGTCATTCTCCAGTACAGATAACACCCACAACAGTCATCCTCCAGTATAGATAACACTCACAACAGTCATCCTCCAGTAAGGACACAACATGCAGATCTCACGCTCTCCATCTCACCTCCTGGATGTGCTCTATGTGTTCGAGGAAGCGGTCTGCGTATTCGTCCAGTCTCTCTTGGTCTGTGGCCAACCCAGCATTCTTCAGGGCACTGATTAGTTCACTCTCCTCACATGCACCTCGGACCAGCTCCTCCGCCTGTTGGGAGACACAGAGATGGTCAAACTGTATATCTTACCTCGGAGTGATCATATTCCTCAGTGGATGCGCTCGGTGTGATGAAGTGCTGTATATTGTATTGAACGCATCAGAAATAAGATATTAGGAGAGAACATAGACAGTTGAGAGGTGAAGACTATCATGAGAAAGGTCGTGTGAGCTGACTAACACGCTGGGACCATCTAACTACAGTACAAGGAGAAGGCTCACATTCTACTGTGTACACTATTGAGTATGAATACAGGTAAGTGGGGATGTTGCCAGGTGTGGATACATATAGGTCTTGACAAAAGGAGAGGTGGGTACAGGAGTCATGAAAATGTAAAGTGTGTATACAGGCAAGTGTGGATCTAGGCAAGTTACGTTGGCAAGGATTAGAATATGTTTGATGAGGTAAGAAGTACCGGTAATACACACCTGTACTAGGGCAGTGGTCTGCAGTTGGTGTCTCATCTCCCTGGTGGCGGCCAACACTGTGTTGATGGCCGTCTCCAGCTCGTCCCCAGGGGATGGCGGCTCTTTCTGCTCCTGATACCGAAGAGGTGACCAATTAATGGATAAAAAATCAAAAGCATGATACGAGTAAGAGTGTGTGGATGTTTTGTATTAACAGTACTTGTTGCTCTAGACTTTTTGTCACTTGTCTTTCAATTGCTTCTTTGAGGTTTAGCACAAAAATGAAAGAGAGAAGTAAAGATAATTCTGCCTTGCTTAACAAATTGTTTATAAAATGGGATAATAATTCTGTTAGTTTTGGCAATTAATTGTGTTAATGACTCTTGATAGCGTTTCACTTGTTTTGATAAAAAAAATTCTTGCTCCTCTGAGAATTGGAAGCAGTTTTTCATATATTCTGTTATACTAGAGTTACTATACCGGAATAACTATACTATTTAAACAAGTTAATTCCCAATTCATCAGATAAAAATGTTTTCATCCAACAGAACTGGAAGGCTAATGTAACTACTGTACTTGCAATCACCGTTTTGGCAATTCTTTCCCAAAATTTTATTTGATTCAAAATCTCCAAAAAGATTCTCTCTAATACACTGTTTAATGATCAGGGTTCAAAAGGTTATAATTATGGTAATAAAAGAAAAATTGTTTGACAGGTCATTAACACAACTAAAAAAGGATAATTTATAATTTTAGTTTCCATATCTTTAATCTGTCTGTTCATCAGTATGTGTGTTATGAGCGATCGATGGATTTGTGCAATAGAACGCAATAGATGCGAGAAGAATGAAGCAAATAAGAGTAAAAGAGGGAAAGAAAGAAACAGTGAAACGAACAGTGAAGCGAGAAGAATGAAATGTAAAAAACGAAGCGAGGAGTGTGGAGTGAATGAGATTTCGATACACTCACCAGATTTACTCCCACCCGTAGCAATTGGTTGAGTTGTAGCCGTATCCTGTCCGTGAGCAGTAGGATGTTCTCTCTGTGTTCGTGGGTGGTGTAGGCTGAGTCCGTAAAGTCCTGCATCCTCTCACAGATAGTGTCCACCGCCTGAGCAACACACACACACACACGTTCATTATCACCAACAAGGTAAACATATTAAATATATTAAATTTTGAAAGTCAACGTAAGTATTGTAAATATATAAATAAATAAAAATAAGTTTGGTAAGTAAATAAGGACTAAGTGAAATATATAAGTAGCTACTGTAAGTACTGTAAGTGAGTACGGAGAATAAGTAAAATAAAGTAAAATAAATACAAATTACAATAAGTAAGAAAATATGAAAAATAAGTAAGAAAAGCTATTGGTGAATACAGTATTACTACATCTTAAAATATACAGAATTCAGAGAGAGAGAGAGAGAGAGAGAGAGAGAGAGAGAGAGAGAGAGAGAGAATACACAAGGCAAGTAAGTCATTAATGAATATAAAAATACAAAAACGAAAAAATAAAATAAAAAATAAGGTAAACAAATAGAAAAAAAAGGAAGGTGAAGGAGAAGAGATGAAGGGGGAGGAGAAGAGATGAACACGAGAGAGACATAGAGAGATATTAAACTTGGGAGAAACAAAAGGCACGAAAGCCAAAACACAAGATCAAAAGAAACATTTCCAATTAACACATATTTTTGTTGATGTGTGTGTGTGTGTGCCAGATGTGTGTGTGTGTGTGTGAGCTAGATGTGTGTGGGAGAGCTAGATATGTATTTGTGTGTGAGATATGTGTGTGTGTGAGCCAGATGTGTGTGTGTGTGTGTGTGTGTGCCAGATGTGTGTGTGTGTGTGTGTGCCAGATGTGTGTGTGTGTGTGTGAGCTAGATGTGTGTGGGAGAGCTAGATATGTATTTGTGTGTGAGCCAGATATGTGTGAGAGCTAGATGTGTGTTTGTGTGTGAGCCAGATGTATGTGAAGAGCCAGATGCATGCGAAGAGGCTGATGTATGTGAAGAACCAGATGTACATGAAGAGCCACATGTGTTTGAGCCAGATGTAAAGGGGGAGAGGTGAGGTACATACATTAAAACACGTGTAGCGATCAGATAACGAATTAGTCAGGCATACGGTAGGTTTAAGGTACATAAACTTCAGGTGTGTTGGGGGTCAGGTGTGTTAGGACTAGGTGTGTGGAGACCAATTTATTACCGACAGGTGTGTGGAGGTGAGGTAGGAGCAGATGAACACGTACCTGACATAGACGGTCCCTGACGGCTGGCCCACACAGGGTCATACGGGTCATCTCTACCGAGTCCTCGAGGTGTCGGATGGCGCCATACATAGTGTGGTTGTTGTCCCAGTCATCCTGTAACACAAGACCACGTTAAACACACACACACACACACACACACACACACACACACACACCACACACACACATACACACACACACACACACACACACACACACACACACACACACACACACACACACACAGCTGAGCAAACAAATAACCATTTCGCTACTATATGCCAGACGCTCCCACAGCTTGACACAACCACTCTCCCTGCTTACCTACCAGCCCCCCTTCCCACTGACTTAGTAGAGGAATTTGACGTAGCAAAACGCCTGGACAAACTAAAATTAAAACGCTCTACCACCCCCATTGACTTACCAATGAAACTATTCAAGGAGTTCTCCCCGGAGCTTGCTAAACCCCTCTGCTCCATCATCAATGCTTCTCTCAGTCAAGCCAGATGCCCAGCTGACTGGAAGACCTCTTATGTATCACCAGTGCCCAAGTCAACCAGCCCACAATCCTTAAATCAGCTACGACCTATTGCAATCACCCCAATACCCAGCCTAATCTGTGAAAGTTTTGTGTTTGACTGGGCTTATGCTGATATTGCAGGAGTCGTAGACCCTCAGCAATTTGGCAACATGAAAACTTCCTCCACCACTCACTGTCTTGTCAGCTTTCTCGATTACATATACCGCCATCTCGAGAAACGAAAAACGTCTGTAGCTGTCGCCTTCATTGATTTCACTAAAGCGTTCGACCTAGTCGACCACAATATAATCATAAACAAAGCTATTGACCTCGGGCTTCGGAGAAGTCTCATACCATGGCTTACAGACTTCCTCAGTGACCGACGCCAAGCTGTACGCTTCCGAGGGGCTGTCTCCACCTTTCAGTCACTCACCTGTGGCGTCCCCCAAGGCACCAAGATGGGACCACTCTGCTTCCTTATGCTCATCAATGATGCCCTAAGAGAAACCCCTGCTCGCTGGAAATATGTCGACGACTCCACCATTGGGATCAGCGTCAACAATTCCGCTCCCAACTATACCGCCCTTCAGGATTTATTGAACAGTCTCCAAAACTGGGCCACCAACAACCATGTCACCATCAACCATACCAAGACAATGGTTATGCACATCAACCTCTCCTCCGACATTGTCCCACCTCCTTCCATTACTCTAGGTCCGAACACACTCCAGGTTGTAGATTCCACGAAGCTCCTCAGCGTCACCATAGACAACAAACTAAATTGGAAAGTTGTCAAATCCTCCAGTTTCCATCTCCACCTCCTCCGCCGACTCAAGTCCCTCGGAGTTCCCGCACACGAGCTCCTCAGTGTATACACAACATTCATACTTCCCAAGCTCACCTATGCCTCCCCCACCTGGTCTTCCTCCCTAAATGCCACACAACGTAAACACCTAGAAAAAGTGCAAAAGAGGGCATGCAAGATTATTCTCTCCCCTTCCTACTCCACATATCAAGAAGCGCTCAACACACTGACCCTTTCGACTCTCACTGACCATCACCACGGCCTCATCTACAAATTTGGTAAGAAGCTTCTACACCATCCCCAGGCACCAGCCCTACTACTACCTAGAATCCCCTGTCCAAAAGTGCTGTTAGAGCTACAGCCGTCCATACGTGCACAGACAGTCGCTATAAGAACGACCCAGTCCCAACCATTGTAAAAAGTGTCAGCATGTAATAAATCAGTGTATTCACTCCCAGTAAACACTGCTCCCTACGCTGTCACTATGTTGAAATGAACTGTATTTTGAGCTGATCCCCATCTAAGTTACTATATGTCTTATTTGTGTCACTTATGTTACTTGTATATTATTTGTAATTCGTAACCCATTCCCCAAATATGTAACTGTATATTTTCAGCCTTCTGGCTGTCAAGCTCTTTCAATAAACCGTTAATTATTATTATTATTATTATTACACACAGAACCCTACATCAAGACCCAGGCCGA